ATAAGATGTTTCACTCATATTCTAAATCTTGCAGTTCATAGCATGTTAAGTGTTATAGAAGTTGAGCTAAATAAACTGAGATTTAATTAAATGTATTTGAGAATCACAATTATGTCACAAAAAGCTAAAAACAACTTGTTTAATACATAATATGAATGCAATGAAACCAATTCTTGATGTAGTTACTAGGTGAAATTTTACATACAACATGTGTGAACAAGCAGTAGTGCTAAAAATGTATTGGATTTAATGACTCTTGCTGAAGTAGAATTGCATCAATATATTTTTACAAATAAAGACTGGACAAAAATATAACTTCTTGTTAAGGTTTTGTGTCTATTTAAAGATGCAGTAACAATTATGTTTGCATCAGAATATCCAACTCTAACAATGACTGTTCCCTTATATTATACATTGTTTGAAATGCTTGAGGAAGTTAAAAAAAATTATAATTCGTCATTTTGGCTTGTTCAAGAATGTGATGCTGCAAAAAAAAAGCTTATGAATTATTATAATAAGACAAATGTGTTATATCTTGTGTCAGTGGTATTAGATCTATGACTTAAATTTTATTTTTTTAAATCACTTAATTTGCCATCACAACTTATTGTTGATATTAAGAACATTATTAAAAACAAGTTTGAAAATGAATATGCATCTTTTTCTAATCAAAATACATTGCATGAAACTATTACACAGTTTACACTAATAGCACAAATTTATAAGCAAATAAATATAGATCAACAAAGTGAATTGGATATCTATTCCTCAATGCCACATGCAGACCCAAATATTAATATTTTAGAATAGTGGCAAATAAATGAGCCAAATTATTCGAATCTTGCAAAATTTGCACAAGATTGTCTTTCAATTCCTGTAACAAGTGTTCCAAGTGAACAGGTCTTTAGTATTAGCAGTGATATGATAACTGATAAGCAAAACCGATTAAGTAAGAAAACAGTTTGATCAGCCATGTGTTTAAGATCATAGTGGAAAGAATATTAAGACTAATTAGGTTTATATAAATTTATTAAAGCAAATTGCATAAATAATAACTAATAGATTTTCTTTTTTTTAGTAAAAAAATACTAGTTATCCTTATATGATCCTTTTTTTTAGTTAAGTTATAATGAATAGATTATAAATAATCTAAATTTTTATATTCAAATTGGTGGTTTTCAGTTCTTTATGGCATTATAGTATTATTGTGAGAAAATTAATTCATTAGATAATCTTATTCAAATTACTAATGCCTTTGATCAACTAAATATCAAAATTTAGGATTTAAGTAATTTGAATTGATATTAAAATAATATGTATAAGGCATTTATACACTATCAAAAATAAGCTTAAATAAATAATTATAATGATTTTAAACCTGTAATTCATTATAGATTAGCATGTTTAAAGATTATAATAAACAATAATTGAATTTAAACATAAATATTTGTTATTTGTTTTTTAGTGATTATAAATATAGCTTGATTCATGATTGATAGAGAATATTATTGAATCAAATTAATGCATTTATTCAGGTTTATAAGTATTTATCATTATACTGTTACATAAATGCTGGCAAGGAAAATTGAAAACCTGAAGTCTATTTTCCTTTGGCAACACTTATTTTATTTTAATTTAAGTTGTTTATATATATATTTGCTAATATACAATAATTAATGCATAGCATAAGTGCTGTGTAATTACAAATGTATCTATATAGTATAGTATCTATTCTATAAAATTTTAGTAGAAATGACATTTAACAAATAATTAATCAGGTTTCAGTTTGGTTCTGAGTTTTGGTATCCTGGTTCCAGGTTTAGGTATGAAACCGAATTGATTTTCCAGTTCGAGTCTGGTTCTGCATAAAACCCAGACTGAACTGGACCATGTGGAACACTACTAGGAAGCATCCTGGATTTATTTTTAATCCAATTTGATATAAGGTTATTTATTTTGTTTAGCTGTTTTCTGCTTGGTGGCAACAGGTAGGCCAAATACCAGATTTCAAAATAAAAAGAGCTTTAGCTACTAGAATTTTTCTTTTAAAGGATAGGTTTCTAGTTACTATTTATTCAATCTTGTTCTTAATATTTTGAGTTAAATTTTCCAAAGTTGTTTTTTAGGATTGCCCTCTATATCTACTTCATATTCTAAAATTCTTAAGACAGTTTCTTTGTTTGCTGTTTTGTATTGACTTTGATTTTGTAATTTCATTACTTTTGCTATATTTGTTATAGGAATTAGTATAGATTTTTCTTAGTTGATTTTAGCATTAGATGCTTGCTCATATCACTTTAGCAGAGCCATCAACCTTTCCTAATCTTGAGATGAGCTAATTCCTATTGTCAAATCATCTGCATTTCCTCTTGAATTTTAAGAATCAGTAGATTTAAGGCTATTATGTATAGCAGAGGAGAAAGAGGATCTCCTTGTTAAACTCCTTTTTTAACTTTAAATAGTTCTGAGATTATGCCTGCATCAGCTATATTAGCTGTTTAAAAATTGAAAAAAGACTTAATGATATTGATGAACCTTGTATTGAAGTTCATTTTTTCTAAAACCTTTAGAATAAATATATGATTTATTTTATCAAAAGCTTTTTGTTGATCTATAAGCAAGAGCCAGTAAGAGGCAGCCTGGTCTTTTTGGTTTCTCATTACTGTAAGAATATCTAAAGCAGCATCTGTAATTGACAATTTGTAAGTGATATAGGTCTCCAATTATCTATATTATCTAACTTTTCTGTTTTTTTTTTGGAATTAGTATAATAATGCTTTTAGTCTAGGACCTAGAAATGTTGCCTGTTTCTAAGCAAAAATTAAACAGTCTTATGAGTACTGAAATAATTTCATCCTTAATATCCTTGTAAAATTTGTATATAAGACCATCTGAGTCTGGAGCTTTGTTGTTAGAGAATATGTTTATTATATATTAACTTCTTTCTCAGAGACTTGTTTTATTAATGCTGCATTCTGCAATTCTGTTATAGATAGAAGATTATGTGTAAAGAAGCTTGCAGCTTTTATGTCTATTCTATCATTTATATATATTGCCTGGTAGGTATCCTTAATATATTGCAATGTAGAGGTTGTGTTTTCTGTTACATATTCTTGTAATGAATGTATCTTATCTTTGGCTAATATTAAATTTCTTATCTTATACAAAGAAAAGAAAAATTTAATAGATTTTTTTCTCTCTTCAATTCATTTGGCATTAGACCTTATTTGCCATTTTTCAGAAAGTAACTGAAGTTCCTCTTGTAACTGTAACTTAATGTTTTCTTTAGTTACTAGAATTTTATCTGTATTTTTACTGTTAGTTGCTTTGTTATCCAGTTTTGTAAGCCTTTTTTGCAGTTTCTGCATTTTCTTTTCAGGAGAAACTTGTGGATGAAATGCTCTTATTATAGACTGTAGTTTACATTTGTATAGGTTTCACTTTGTAAAATCATGAATGTTTGTAACTTCTTTTATTATTTCACTTTTAAGAAGACTGTTATTCTAGCTGTTTTGAGAAAATCTTTATTGTTTGGCTCTAAAGGATGTTGGTGTAAGTTGAAGCTCACATTCTACCAACAAATGGTCTGAGTTGCCAAATTGTGTTGCAATGTTCTAACAGCGATAAATGTGATTTGCATCTATGAATATATAGTCTAGCCTAGTGGCTATTCTATGGTTTCCTTAAGTGTTTTGATAATATGTTACAAAAAGGTTTGCTATTATTCATAGTCATATATGTATCTACAAAATTTGTAATAAGTTCTTTAAATTGTTCTCTTGTAAGGTCATTAGTTGCAAGAGCATGACTAATCTGATCTTTCTGTGGATTAAGATTAGTGTTAAAATCTCCTGCTAGTATGTTGATGTATTTCTTTTCATACTATGGAGTTCAAAAATTAAAGAACCAAGTCCTATCCTTCACATTTTTTTTTTTTTTTATACGTGAATTGGCATTCTTTTTATTAAGATTAAATATTATGGAATTTTACATTATAAACAAGTAAAACATTTACTATCTATGAATTTAACAAGTTTAAGTACTTTCTTGCTCTTTTGTAATTTATCTAAAATTATTAGACTTCTTTTCATTCGGTGTTCAACAATTTTTCCTATTGCCAGTTCTGAAAT